CTTCACAACATAAAATAAAAAAACAACAAAAAAAACAGGAATTTCACTGCTAAACCAAACCTAGTTCAATACGCACATCCAGCTTTAAACCCAAAAGTAAGAAGATCTAGAGACCAATAAAACTGTGAAATGTCTTTTTTCAAAATCTGACTTTTGAATCAGTGTCTGTTTTATCGGTTCGTAACTCAAAAACACAAAATGATCCGAGGATTGGGTACAAACTGAAGTTGTGACATTCCAAATCAAAAATAAAGATCAACTAAACGAATAAAAAAAAATCCCTTCGTTGTTTCCATTTTTATCTTTTACAAAGTGAATTCAAATCTAACCTGAAACTCAAACTTTTATGACGTCAAGTTTTACATTTCCAGCCTTTTAAAAAACGCTATGTCACCCTGTAAGCCACAAAAGCTTTGCATCACCTACGACCTTTGACCTCTCAGTCCCACCTTCGCCCCTGAGCATCCTAAAGCTGGATTTAGGGGATTCCCTGGATCAGTTCCTTCCTTGTTGTTACTCTGACAGCAATCTTTGCGTGCTCCTCAGCCTTTTTCCTTTTAAAGCGACGCGCTTTAAAGTCCAGATAGTGCCGCTGCCATAAATATGTCATAAAACAAACTGTTTGGCACAAAATATGTACATTTTTCTGAGAGCTTTATGCATCGTGCTGATGATCTGGGGGGCGACCGCTGCCCACCCACAGAGGCCTTTTCATTGTCTTGTCTGGTCGCTGAATCTCTGCAGCTCCCCCCCTCCTCACCGCCCCATGTAAACAGCCTCCCTGCAGCAAACGGAGTCGCCCTCGCCGACGAAGCTGTTCACTTCTAAAGAATGCAAAATGTAGATTAAAAGAGCTCCCTTCACTTTTATCAATGCTGGACAAACAGCGTTGAGTTATTGGGAGGATTATGAATAAGTTTTTTTTTTTTTTTTTTCTTCTTCTTCTTCTTCAGTGGAAAAAGCGAGATGTGGCCAAGACAGAGTCATCATCAGAGGTCCCTAAAATAGCAGGGCAGTCTGAGAATGGAGCACGGAAAGGTGAACCGAGCCGGTTGGTGTGCTACGGTTAAGCCGCCTCTGCCCCCAAAATATTCAGTGATTCATCCTGCTGAAATCCGGACTCGTCTTTGGTGGATAAAGCCGGTCCGGGTTCTGAGAGACGTTGCGGCTTTGCGAGTCGCTGAGGCATTACTGTTTTCTTTTAATAAACGGCCTTTTGTGAGATGTTGAATGTAAATGTTTTCACTGAGGCGTGCTGCGTGTGAGTGTGTTTACTTTGGCCGTAGTGGCTAGCGTGCTACTTCTTTTTTTTTTTTTGTTTGTTTACAAGTATTATTGGCTCTTCACTCCCACACTTCAGCTGCCATTTACTTATTCCTCATTCCGCTCATTGTGTTTCATGGATATCAATAAGGCGTCTGCAGGACAAGTGCCCTGAACATCTGTAAGGAATACAGGAACTCACGCAGTTTGCACCCACATTTGCTAATGATAAATGAGCGACCGAATCAGAGATGCAAATAGAGAGACGCACTCTGGGTCGGCTGTTTTACTCATTTATTCAGCTCAAATCTCCACAGACAGTTCTGCACGGTTCCCATGGCTGGGTTGCAGCAGATCAATGGGCGGTTCCTGCCAGCCCCCTTTATTTTATTTTGGACCAGGGGCTCATGGGAAAGTTATTTCCAGACCTTTTTTCCTGTCGCCCTCAGTGAACAGTGGCAGCAGTTTGTTAACAGGTGCAATATGAGACTTGCAGAATTTTTTAAATAGCTTTGTTTTTACCCAGCAGCTTAATATAACCCTCTGTTTGTTTGGGTTTTCGGTGGTGCGTGTAGCACCGAGGATGGCGGTTCTGAAGTTTTCTCAATGAAAAAAATTGCATTCACATGTAGGGATTTTACAGGACTTGCATCAATCTTTCAATTTCAACACTTCTTTCCATCAACTGTATAATAGGAGTGGCATGCTGGCTGCACGGATTAAGAACAGGCATTTCGGCTTGTTCCCTTAGACCAAAATCACTTAAAGGTGCAGTATTATGCATTTTCCAAGCACATAGCGCCATTTTACAGCATAATCAAGTAACTATGTTACCTTCAGGTGTTATAAAAATGCTATGTGTGTCAAATATGACTTAAAAGAAATTCTATGGGGTGCTGGGGTGGCGAGGGGGTTGAGCACGGGCCACATGTGGAGGCCCTAGTCCTCGACGTGGCCGTCGCAGGTTCGATTCCCGGCCTGGCGACCTATGCCGCATGTCTTCCCCTTCTCTCATTACCCTCTTTCCTGTCAAGTCACTATTAAATAAAGGCCACTAGAGCCAATGAAAGCTTTAAAAAAAAAAAAAAAGAAAGAAATTCTACTTCCTGATTCAGTGCCTTGAAATCGGGTCTCTGTCTTTTTAAAAGAAGCCCCTGCTCTTATGGTGTGTTCACACCAAGCGCGTTCGACGTTTCAAGTTCGACATGTGTGCACTTTGAATGGAGGCTCTTGACATTTTTGCTCTACACTGAGCGTTTCGCACGTCTGGTTTATGTTCAAAGTCTACGTGGAGGCACGTCAGATGAGTCAAAATCGCTCTAGCCTTTGTTTTCCGTCGCCAGCCTATTTGTTGGACGCGTCGGACTCGCTTGACGCGTCACACGCTTCGAATTGTGGCCCACATAATGAGCTCAGCAGACTCCCAGTTCCACCATGTGTTTGCTAATTGCCCCTGGCTAGTCTGAAGGAGCACTACACTTACACTATGGGTAAGACCGCATGTTTTTGATGAAACAACATAACATTGCTTTCAATGTAATACATTTTGTCCAACAACCCTTTAGGCAGATAATCTAATGTCATGAATGTCTTTGGCGCTTTTTAAACATTGGCGCTTCTATAGATATAAACAGTACAGATTGCAGTAGCAGTCATGATGAATGTCGCTTTGCCATTGTGCAAAAATGGTGTCAGTATTCAAGTGATCACACCATGCATCATCCAGGTATTTTATCAATACCTCTAAGACCATATCAGTAAAAGATAGCATTACATGGTTCCTTCTTCTGAAATTATGTCAAAAAAGTTCCCACCAGTTTCTTACCTAACTTATTTTAAGCCAACAAAACAATCAGAATGCCAAGCCTCCAGAAAAATCTGAGCCGATGGGATAAACATATAAGGAAGATGTGGTCTGAATAAACAGCATGTTGACTACTGCAATAAACAGAGGACGCACTAATGCGTTTGTCTGAGAGAAACACGAGGGTGGGCTTGTTGAGCGGGGAGAAGGAATGAGTGAAGGGCTGAAGGAACGGGGAGAGAGTTGTGTCTTTGGGAGCAGGACGACCCATGTGACTCAACCGGCCCCTCTTTGTGTTTCCCACACAGTCTGACATGACCGGAGCTATATCCACACCATCACATTGACAAGGGCCACTGTCTGCGAACTTCTCTCCTGCTTATGATTCATGCCCCCGTGAACAAGGGCACCATGTTTGCTTATGCTGCTGCCGGCCACACATGATATCCACCATGAAAGCTGCTCAATCTGATCGGTCAGCCTCTTCTTTTATTCCCCGTCCGTCTCAAAATGATGAAGACACTTCAATTCTCTTTAGGTCCTCCACAGTTATGGGTCAGAAAATCACTTTCCATCAGTCATGAATGTTAGTTTTGCTCGATAGTTGCTCTCTATAGGCTGCACTGCATATGAGACACAGTGGGAATGATCAAATAACATGGTCTTGTTATGAAAAGACCACTACGTTTTTTATATGTTGTTACCATGATGTGGAAATCCAACGATCATAATGAGAGCCGCTTTATTAACAAGCTGACACACGTTGACGATGGGGCCGGGGTTAGCATTGCGGCTAGCTAGGACTTGGAAGTCCCTTGGGTTTATCTTTTAAATTTGGCTTGTTTTTAAGATGTTATCAGAATGAACCCTTATTATCGTAAGTAGCAGTTTATGGTACGTTCATTGACTAAAGAATGAAGCACTCAGAGTGACAGAAATAGAAACAAACTGGGTGCACCAAAAGGTCATGTGACTTTACTGCAACCATTGAGACAGGGTGTAGTCTGACACGTGGAATTGGTTCGAGGCCTGTGGTGGATGCCAGACACAGTTTATGTGGATCTTTTATGACTAGTAAACAAGCAATGATACCATCTTCAGTGTGGCCTGTCTAGGTGACCTGAACCTTCTAGGTCAGGAGTGAGGAACTGCCTCTCTCTCTCGTCACCCATTTCGATTTTTACCAAGTCCTCTGAGGACCAGGCTCAATTTGTACACCAATGTAATGCAACATTTATAAGATAACCACATCTGTTTTGCATATTTATATTCACATTTGTGAATTTATGTTTGTAATGTTTTCTTCCAGATATGCTGTTTTCCAAACACAAAATACCACCACAAATAAAATGCGTAATTTGAATTTGATTTGACATTTTTATCTGGGATTTGAGAAATTAATCTTTGTCTGATGAAAATGAACAGTAGAGTTGTTTTCAGGGCTATATTACCGAAGTCTAAAACTATGTTTGAAGCCAATGGTCTAAGATAATCCCTCTCTGCACATTTTGATTCCAATCAAATACTTAAAAATGCATCATAATCCACCTGCTCCTCCAAAATGAAGTAGAATATATAAATATCACAAGCAGCTGGTTGCGGGCCAACATAGCAGACCAAGAACATTCGACAGCGTTAGCTTAAACACTGTGTTCAAAAACACAAACTGTAACCACAACTGATAAACACAAATGCTGTAAATACCCAGATCCGATAACTAGGAAGAGATATCTTCTGGTTAAGTGTTTAGAGTAAATGAGCCATTTAATTGCAGTAAACTACTTTGTTTTCCACTAAGATATGAGAGTTATTTATCTGAACTTTGAACTCAAAAGTGCGTAATTGTGTGAACAAGCCTTCAGGATTAAATACTTCATGTCCCTCCTGCCGCCATTCCCGGTTAGTGTCGTCACCGTGGTAATGCCAGGCTTACATGGAATGTTGGCAGCGTCGCCTCCCTCTAGTCCTGCGCTCCCCCAGGAACTCTCGAGAACAGGGACCCGGCTTGTTTCCCATCTGCAAGGAACACAAACAGAATCAGACAAAATATGTTGAGCGACGCGGCCAGAAAGGATCATCACTTAACGTCACTCCTCAGCAACAACTGCTGTGACTACAGCTGGCTGTCCAGCAAGCGAGCCTGTGGTCACTATCCCAGAATTTTACAGGGGCTTTCCCTGCGATCAGGGGACCTATTTTTGTCCGCTCTCCTCTAAACGGCACACTAGCGGTCCCCATGGGAGACCCCTCCGTCTTGGTAAAAGCCCAGAGCCATTTTGTTAAGGCTCCTCTTCCTCCTCCTTTTCAGTTTTTTTTTTTTTTTTTAAGTCTTCACTTTAACAAGATAATTGGATGAGCGCAGAACTTCTCCAGTCAAGTAAACAGACAGTGCAGTAGGTTACTTGAAGCTGTTGAATATTATATTGGGTTTAGAAGCATGATACTCACCAACTGTGATTTGTGGGTCCCCAGCCTCTTGGCCTCTTGACACAATCACTTTCTGAAGAATGAAATTATTTCCCATAGATTCTTTGTTAGCTATGTTAGCAGCCAACTAAATTTAGGAATCATCTTATTCACTCTAAAGTGCCTGTTTATTTTTTTTATCTGTGTTTTTTTAATTTTGTGCATGAACTGCCTTCATCAGGCTGTTAATCTATTCCACTTAATTTGATGCGACCGTCCAAAACAAATTAGTTTAACTGAGGATTTTTAAAGCAGATAGAAACATACCCTCCAAGACCTGGTGTTGTAACTGCAGTGAAAGGTAGTTCTACCAAGTGTGAAGGAGAGTTTCATATATACAACACACTCTTCAGATTCTTGTGGAAACCTGTGAAAACTATGTTTAACTTTCTTTCAAAAACAACAGTGTGCACAACTCTGGACAAGAATTGATGATGCCCAGACTTTGGCACAGAGTGCTGCGTATGTTGGTTCCCGTTGACTTTATTAGACCACAAACCGATTCCGTTCCTCTGTCGAGTCTTTGGCTAAAACTTCTGTGATGACTCTGGATCTCACACTGTGACATATATCAGAATTAAAGTCGTCTCTCAAGCGTGCAAGTATTGCCATATAACAATTTGTAAAAGAAATCATAACACGATGTCACAGAGATCTGCAAATCTGTGAATCAGTGCCTGACCACAGGCCAGACCACAGCTTCGCTTCCAGTCGACCCCTTCTGATATTTATTTTCTCACAACCACACACAGAGGACCAGAGAAACGGACTCACAGCTAGGGAACATAATGAGGACAAGGCAGAAGGAAGAGCTGAAGTCAGAGTGAAAGTCCAAGGCAGTGACTAAGGAGCGGAGCCAGATCATGCAGCTCCCAGGTTCAGGAGGGATGCCAGCAGAGCCAATTGGAAGTATTTTTAGTATAGGAACAGAACGTGATTCTCCCCTCCGTCTTTGGACCCCTAGGGGGTCTGGTGATGGGAGTGGGATACAGTATACTATGTTCCCAGCCCAGGATCCGGGGCAGGAAACCTCCCCTGCGTTTCTTGGCGGTTCCTGCCACACAGCGAGTGTGTCTGGAATTGGCGTTCCTTGGAACCACAAGCCACCCCCACAGTCCCCAGACCTAGACACCACAGCCTGTCTTGTCTTTGCTATTGAGCAGCTGACCTTTGCTGATAGTAACAGAAATAAATGCAGATGAACCCAAGAGCAGGACAGAAAAACGAAGAAAGTTCAATGGGAAAATTTAATGAGCAATAACTGCTTGTTGTTGGCTAAGATAATCTGGTATGACGAGTCAACGAAGACATTATTATTGCTTTGCCTTAAAGGAAAAGAAAGACAGTGACTGGGAAACCACAAACTTCAACGTAGACCAATACAAATCCATGCATTGTCAAGTGTAATGAAAATTTTACATGTCTTTCCAATCCAAAAAGTGCAGCATCCACATCAATTTGTGCCCTTCTATTAATCTGATATCCATAAATAAAATTCAGTACAAGAACAAGGAGCACAGCAGGAAGGTGTCCCAAGTTTTAAACTCATCTCAGAGTTCTGTTCAACCTATGACTCCAAAATTGAAGAGTATGGCACAACTGCAAACCTACCAATACATGTCCATCCACTTAATTTGACAAAAAAAAAGAGGCCCATGAAGGAGTCTTAGGCGTCCACAGTTCAGACGGACAAATCAGAGGTAGGAGACAACAGCACACCAACATTTAGATCTGGTCTTTATGAAAGCATGGCAAGAGGGTGGTCTGTTCAAATAAGGTCAAAAATTGACCTTTTTGGTCTACGTCCAAAACGATTTGTGTTGCAGAACGATAGCAATTGCATCAGATGTGTTTGAATGGTCCAATGGAAAAATCCAAAGTGAAAGGGTGTGAATACTTCTGCAAAACATTGCATTACCTTTTAAAATAACATTTTAAACTAAACATATGTTACATTAAGTCCACATTTCTGTTTTCAAAATTGTTTTCTTTATTGGTCTGATGTAATATTCTAATTCTAAATGTCATGTTTTCATTACCTGTAGAAGGAAAATCATCACAATCAACACAAAGGTTTTAAACATCCATCTGTGTAATTAATCTGTATAATGTGTTTCCCTTAGTGATAAAGTTCCTGAAATAAATGGGCTTATCAGCAATCGCCTAATTTATTGAATGGGGTCTGTACTGTCTTTTAAAACATAATAACGGGATTGATATGATTTCTGCTCAGACCGAGGATATTATGGACGGATTCTTGAGCTGAACAGGAGTCATTCAGTGGACAGCATTGACAAAGATGGAAAGTGTTTTTACTTTCCTAGGCTGACAGCAGCAGTTTCAAAGCTAAATCACCATCAGACTGTAGGGGAGAGTCGGCCCAGTTGGACATCAACTCGGCTCTCAAATAACTACGTCATGACTGTAACTCAGCAGAGGCAGCATGCTGTAAGAAAGCACAGATAAAACATGCACCATGCTGCTTCTGATCCAATCTTCTTTGGAGAGTTATTACTTATGTACAGAGGGAAAAAGAGGTCAGATTAACAGTCTACAATAAGCCTGGAAAATTGAGAAACAACCCAAAAAGAGACAGCAGAAAGCAGAAGTCTAGCTAAAAGACTCAAGAGAATCTTTGAGGGGGCAAAGAAGAGATTAAAACGGACAGCTCTGGACAGCGCTGCGGAGCGTGTGCGCCGTAATTGAATTTCATGCTCGCTGCTTTCTTCTGAAGTCGTGTAGCAAAGCGATCATTTGAAAAGAAAGTTATTAGTGAAGCCCTCGGCTGTAAACTGGGCACCGCGTCGTAGGAAGTGTGGGATTATGGAGGCAGCAGGGTTCGGTGTGCTTTGTCAAAACAAATGTCGCACGATCATTTTTCAATAACGGGACAGAAACTGTGTAAAATGCCTGAGGAAAATAAACATGCACACACACAATGCACTGTATACAGTCGAGACAGACGGTCACAGATTTAGTCAAAGCAATACTGACTTAGTTTCCACCGAAATATAACGAAGTACTGTGTCAAACTTTATTGCACTGCTAATTTTTTAGGTATACACTAAAGGTGCATTCACACCTCTGTTTACTCTGGTACGTTTGCCTAGAAAGTCCAGTTTGTTTGGTTAAGAGTGAATGTGCAATTGGTCTGATGCGGACCAAAAGAAGGGAACTCTGGTCCGCCTACAAACCTTGGTCTCGGTTTGGTTGAAGTGAACTCTGGCGTGGTTCGAATGGGTATGTGGATGCAAGTGGACCAAAAGCAGGAAGCAGACTTTAGCGCCGGGCATTCTGGGTAAATATAACCAAAACAAAGGCGCAAGTCTGGTGATTGTGGGAGAAATGGCACATGGTCTCTTGTCAAAGACGAAAGAGGCAACCACTGAAAATCCTTATTCTGTTTGTTTAGATTCTGGTCTACAAAGTGCTGTAGACCAGTGTTTTGCTGCTGAACTCAAAAAACAGGACATAATTAGTGGTGTCTATCTATCTATCTAACTATCTAACTGAACTGACCTATGCACACATCAACATTTCCTTACAGAAATTTGATCTGTGATCTGATAAGAAGCTAGTAATTTGTGAACGACACATAATAAATCAAGCCTCTTGTTTGTGATGACCCGGTTTATTTTTTGCTATAGAATTACACGGTTCTCATGAGGCAAAGAGAAAGAGAAAACAAACATTTAAACAGCACATTAATCAAAGACAGAACAGTTTCTTTTTACTTCCACTGTCCCAGAACCTACAGCAGATCAAGCTGCTCCACGACAGGTTACACAGAATAATGTTAATTAATATAAAGAAAAAATTATTTGTTTAACTAGCTATTCCAATACCAAGCAGCCACTGGAAAGTCTTCAAATACGTTTTCCAAAATTTTTAGATTATGTTTTTCAATAATTTTCAAATGTAGATCCTATATTTTAACACCATTTCTTCTAGAAATCATACTAAACCGCACCAGTGGATAACTGGTCATAACTTGCATGGGATGAATTAACCCTGTCGTTGAGTCCTTAGTTCATTTAGTTTCTCTTTTACAAAAATGAAGCAAAAAGAAAAAAAAAATGCATAAAACATCATATCAATTGTAACATTACTCGTACCACTGTTTGAGAACCTTAGCACTATAAAATGTAAGCAGAAGCGTGCGGTACACTACAGGGATTTATTTTCATGCTTCTTTAAAGGCAAATTTTTTTCACTTCAGTAATCAGAGATTTCATCCCTAATCCGCTGACTTAGTCCAGCTCCTCCTGCACTTTGATGCTGACTTACATTTCAGATACTCAGGGCTGTGAATAAAAACCTGCGGGTCACACTCATTTCTAATTAGCAGCCAATTAGAAAGCTGAGGTTTCAGCGTGAAGCGCCAGTGTTTGTTTCCCACTGGGGAGAGCGCGGCACAGAGCTGACCCTGTGACAATCTCCATGGTTATGATGCGGATCGTTGCTCACCGGCCCTGTAAACACACACACAGCCTTCACATGACACACACACACACTAAAGTCCTGTAGCTTAATATACCCACTGGCTTCAA